ATCTGTTCCTGTAAAGACTACAGCACAGGAAACATATACAGCAGTATTACTGCCACATGGGGTTCCATCAGTCAAAAATCAACCTGACAGCACTTAACAAATGTAAAATAATACACCACTCATAGCCTTAAAAGTTATTTGATAAAATTTAAAGAGCACTGAGGTCACTTCAGAAACCGAACCAGACTAGCACTATACCTATTAATGTAAAAAAACCCAACAAAACACAAAAAACTAAACATGAAATAAAATACCAAAGTATTAACTGTTCCTACAATTGAATGTTAGGTGTTCTATTTCTATACTCCATTTCACAATGTTGTAGTACTAATTTAAAGCAAAATGTCAGTGATAGTTATTTTCAGTAATTTATTATTCTTACTAAACAATTCATTTTTAGAAGTCAAATTTTTATAAATTCCTCTTGAGTGAACCTCATTAGATCATTATCATTATTAAACTTGTTAGATATCATTTATGGAGTCAGCTTTCACTCAGTTATATACAACAGAATGCAACATTGCCCTATTCTGTACCATCCTCATAAGTGTTATACTTGAGCCCATTGTTGTAGTAATTGAGTAAAACCACCTGAAAGCCATCTTTCTAGGCTGAGGCTCTACTTTATCAAGCATGATGTTCTCTAAAGACTGGCCTCTAGAAAGTGGTGTTTAAATTACTGTATTTGGAAAGAATTTCATAGGGTTTTTAAAGGCCTGCTGTTTCAGATGTGAATGGCTGGTCCTTCTTACTAGTCTATCTTATCCTATTAGTTCACCTGCAACCTGTTCATCACAGGTGACTTCTCTGGCACTTGACACATCAGTGGTACAGTTTCCAGGAAAAGGTGCAGATGGAATGCCCCTTGAAGACAAGGAAGAGAAAGCTTTGTCTCTTCATACTATGGACATGTTGCTAGGAGAAGCTCTTCCTTGGAAAAGGATATCATGATTGGAAGGATGAAGGGTCAAATGGGAGAGAGGGAGAGTTTCATCTAGATTAACACAGGGACTAGAGCAATGGGCTCAAGTGTATCAGAGACTGTGAAGATGGCACAGGATACAAAGGATTCAGGTCTGTTTTTCATATGGTCACTATGAGTCACACTTGACAGCACCTTAACAACAATTTGGAGAGAGAAAACTTAGTATCTTCTATTATCCATAATGTTCCGTGTTGTTGTGTACTGTGCAGTCAGAACCAACTTGTAGCTGACAGTCCAGCAGGTTTCCAGAGGCAGTTAATTGCATGGTAGGAGAATGCCCATCTTTCTCCCCTGGAAAAGCTGGTGGATTTGATATCACCTTTAAAAATTAGGCCATCTTCTGTTATGAATCATTTGTTTCTTGACAGCAAGAACATTGGCTTGAAATGATAAGACATATTAAAAGTCATTGAATTCTATTCCAATTACCCATCTTTTGCAGTGGGATGTTGGTTTTATATTGGCCTGGGTTCTATATATTTACTACTTTATAGGGAAAATGAAAAGTTTTATATAGTTTGTTTCTTTCACTGGCTGTTCAAACACAGCTAAACTATACAGAGAGAGGTGTAAAGCATAATGCCAAGCACTGTGGGCAGTCTGAATGTACCAGCAGCTCTAGAGCAGAAAGGTGGACAAATTCTTCCGATGCCACTTATGGTCCCTGAAACACAATGAAGTGTTGGAGGGTCAGTTAGAAATCCAAGGTGACAGCAGGCTTCAGAGGAGACTGCTCCTATTTATCCAGCAGATGTTACCTAGAAAATCCTATGGGGCAGTCCTACTTTGAGTCAGATTTAAAGCCAATGACCAAAAAGATTAAATTGAGAAGGCAGGCTGAGCAATTTTTTCTATTGTGATAAAATTCCCCTTCAGGAAAAACTGACAATGATTCAATAGAAATTCACCATTTATTTTATCATGTCAATGGCTGAAAAACACATACAACTTTGTAAGATGAACATACAGAGCCCAAATAATTTTTGTTTATTGGTTATTATTACTATTTACCAATGAGGAGATGCAGCTTATTTACACCAGCAGCCAAAGGGGCAAAGGGAATACACAGAATTAGTTAGCTATGTGTATAGAATGGACTACTTATGTAAAAATAAGAATTTCAAGAACAAAAGTCAGTGATAAACCTTATTACCCTCCCCCATGATCCCAGCATGCTATAATGCTAGGCAGTGGTCCCTGGGCATGCGGTGGTCAGAACTAATAAATGGAAGAAAGACCTACAAACCACAGAAATGTATTAAGAAACTCCTTTACCCCTACACACACACTCAATACATAATAGGATTACAGAGTGATCAATACACATAATTGAGGTGGAAAGGATAAGACTTAAGCTGTTAAGGGGAAGGAGATAGGAAAAGTTTCCAAACCACTGTAAATTACATACTAGGGGACATTCTTCCCCTAAAAAGAGAGGGGGGAAAAAAAGTTTGTTCCTTCAGGACACCTATAGGGCCAAGTTCACCTCACACTCATCAAGGTAAGGGACTACAACATAATGACCCTAATGGTAAAAATCATTAATTTTTTTTTGGGGGGGGGAGGGGAGAAGCAATGTGAACAAACCACAATTCAAAACTATTTTTCTTCTTTCTCCTCCAACCAAAATTAGGAGAAAAAAATCAAGTGGAAATAGCCATGTTATGCTCTAGACTCCCTCTTTGAAGGAAGAATGGATCAAAACCCTTACCTTCAACCTGCTTCCATAACATCATTTGAAAGTTAAGCTGGAGTCTCAATAAAATCCTCCTTTTCTTCTGTATCCCTTTGAAGTCTACAGAAGGGCAAAGAAAATCTAGGCCTCAAAAATATTTTAACTTCTGCTAAGGCTTAACATTTTAAGGACTATCATAGTTCTTTGAAACCAAATCTATAACCAGATTACAACTTTGATTAGGACAAATTGAAGCAAGCATTAACAGTTTTTAGGGCTCATTTCAGCTTTCCTGGCACTTCAAGTGTATAAACCAATCAGTTCAAATGTTTCATATTATTTTCTTCAGAAAGGACAAAACACAAATGCACAGCAGGGGCTTAGGAGACTGAATCAGAACCAGATCCATCCCTGTGTGCTATCAGTCAGCTTTTACTGCCCTTCTGCATAGGTCCTAAGAGAGGCAGTGTCATAGTGGAGGTTTGAAGGTTTAACTTCTAATGAAGTCAGTTATAGCAGGTGAGCAAATTAGAAAGGCAATCTTATAAAGGAGAAATGCTTAGGGATGGCACTGTTTTTCAAGTGCTGAAATTATCTTCCTAATCCAAGCTCAACAGGGGGAAACATAAGATTTTCCGAAGTTCTTGTTAAGAACAGGGAGAAATGAAACTTTCAAGAGAGATCACTTAAAGCAAAACTGGACAGTCTTCAGAAAGGATTATCAAGGAAAATTACAACAGTCAATGTGAGAACTTGGGCTGCACCAGATAGGCAATAGAGAAGGGGACAGGGAAAACATGGGACCAAGTCAGAAGGGAGAGGGTGGGCCCCTTATTGGGGCACAGAATGAGGTAAGAAAACAGTTCAAATGAAGCAGCACCATTCCTGCTAACCTTGGAGCTCCAGGCCTCTACACTTCACCAGCTCTAGTTACTGTGCTATCAAGCCAAAAAGGACTCATAGCAGACCCTCCAGAGGGATTTTAGAGGCTGTAAACTGCATGGGAGGAGACTGTCCATCTTTCTCCCATGTAGCAACTGGTAGACCAGAACCCCATGCCTTTGGGCTGGCAGTGAAACTCCTTACTATTAAGCCACCAGAATTCCCTTTAATCAACTCTTAGTACAGAGTAATTTTGATATGTAATTCTTGTCTAAAAAATGTTCTCACCCCATTCTCTGAAGACAAAGGAGCCCTAGAGGTCCTTTCCTGACTTTTTTAGCAACAAAGGAAAGCTCCTTTTGTCAAGGACTAATATGATTAAGTAAAAAGTGAGGGAACAGAGGTGGGGACAGCTTAGATGCTCAACACAGCCCACTTAATTACCCAAGGAGCAGAATGTTTAACGGCTGACTCTACACACGGTCACAGGAGAGATGATCCAGTCTTGCTCCTTGGCTCCTAGCACAAACTCATTCACATTACTGAGGGCAGTTGGACGAAGTCCCCATTGGGCTCAGCTTTCAAACCACAGGCTCACACAAGGTCAAACTGCTCCTCTATACCTTGGTGCTGCCCTTGGAAAGGGAAGCAGGTCGTGGATCTGGAATAGTAACCAAGTCAGACCAACGGGCTGGCTGAGTAACTAGTAATTCGGAGTGCGAAAATGTTAAATCAAACTATGTCCAAGAATAACAGATCCAGGAATGAGTCTTGCAGTTTGAGAAATCGTGCATAGTTTCAGATCCCCCCCGTTACTTCCCCAGGGGATAATTTTATCTTAGCCTATCTGGACAACTAAGGTGTTGACCATCTGTCAGGCCTATGCCAACAGGTAGGGGCCAGGAAAGGTGGCTCCATTGAGCCAAAGGGTAGCAACTGTCTCCAAGTGAGCGAAGTTCTTGTAAACACTGGATCTTTCAGAAACAAGTGGTTTTGGCCTTCTCTTTTCATGGGAGCCAAGGCCATTGATTAGGGCTTGATTTGTAATGCTCATATTGTCAGTTATCCAGTAAGCCCTTGGCATCAGAGGCTAAGAAATCAAAGAGCTTTGTACTCTGGGCACACAGACACTCATTTGTGCACTGTGAGAAGCACAGGGACCTAGTGTACATCCTGGTGTTCAGAGTTCAAACTCAACAAGATTAACAGGCAGTATATACAACTCCTTCTCATGTCCAACGTTTCAGAGCTGGTTCCAAGAAGTATACTCAGAATTGATCTACACTGGTAAATTCTCCTGGTTGGTTTCGTTTCTTTTTTAAAAGGTTAAGATCTTCAAGGGGAGTTGTGATTTTTATTTTTTTTTTCTTTTCCTTTTCTCGATCTAGCTTACTTCTCCAAGCCACAGGACTAGGCTATGCTATTGTCCTGGTCATTCCAGGCTCTCTCCTGTTGCAGCTACTGGAATTCCGGTGGTGAGCGCTGCACCTGCTCATCAGGCCCTTTCCCAGATTCTCCGGGAAGGGAGCAAAGAGGGAGGCGGCATGCTCCTTTATCTTCAACTGGCTGAATGCCAAAATCCTTCACACTACCAGTGTCCGCGAACTCCAGGTAGAAGTAGCCACATTTGACTGCCCGGTGAACCTCAAAACAGAATCCCAAACAAGAATCCTCTATCAGGTCTACGTATATCTCCTGAGCGATGGCCTCTAGCTTGTTAGTATCCAGGTTAGCCAATGAAATCTCCTCCATTTTAATTTGTAAACGACTGTGGCCCGGGTGCTCGAATTACTCACAGCAGCACTGGAAGCAGCAACACCTCTGGGTCCGCAGGCGCGCCTAGGCCCAGAGGCCTCTCGGGGCAGCGTTCTTCGGCGGGAGCTGTAGCGTCCGCGGCAGTGGCGACAATGCAGCGGCAGCCGCGACTGTTGCAGAATCTCAAGTCCTATCGTTTGCCTTGTGTCTCCAAGGGTGCGGGGTTATGAACGGGGGCTTGCCCCAACACACGAAACCAGACACCGACCAACGTCGCTCGCGGCCACCCAAGCCTCTTCCGCTCGCTGCTCCGGGCGTAGACCCGCCTCTCTGCTTCCGCTCCTCAGCGCGCCTGCGCACTGGCTGCTCACTGGCTCTCCCAGCTGCTTTCAGTACGTTGGTTGCTTTGGACTGTGTGGAAGTGGGTGGGAGGAACAAAAATGGATTCAACTTTTATCATTTCTGATTGCAGTTGCAAGGCTATTACTTACCTTTTCGCAGTTTAACATTGACATTTTAACATTCATTAATGTTTTCATTACCTACACTCTATTGATTTGCTCTAAGGGGACAAAAATAAAGTCAATTTGTGGTATGTTCCTAAATGCATTTTTTTTAAGGAATTGTTATTCCTAGGGATTTGCGTGAAGATTTCTCATGTAGTAAACTTTTGATCATTTAGACTAGTGTCGTAGTTGTCATTGAAATCCACTAGATGGTGCAAAGTAACAAATTACTATATCATTTATCTTTCAGTCTTTTTTTCCAATGGAAAAACCAGGCACTGTGGAAATACATACATATTGATCAAATGAAACTAAAGCACTTATCTTACTTATAAAACCATTAAGTCGGTCTAACTAAATGGAAGATCATGTACCTCTCTCAGAGTTCAAATAGGAAGTTAACTTGTGAATATACCTTGGAGAGAGAAAATCTGAAATATTTTAATGAATATATGCAATAATGGTTACTCATGGTGGACAGTGTTTGGTGGAGCTCCCTGATTAAAACAAGCTTGGAAGCAGGAGTGGCGAAATAGCTTGCCTCTGGAAACTCTATGAATGTGAAGAAATGATGAGAGTTATATAAGTGTTCAGGTTTTCCTTTCATATGGTCGCTGTGAATCAACTACGCCTGGATGGCACTTAACAATAATAATAACAACAACAACATAGAGCTCTGTTGGCCTAGTGGATAGAAAGTTATGCTACGAAGCCAGAGGTGAATGATTTTAATCTGCAGCCCTCAGGCCTGGTTTTAATTGTTTTTTGTCAGACATCTTTCTGAGTGGTATAGCATTGACTGTCCATTTTCTGTACAAACATAACTCGTGGTTGTTGTGATGCTAAACACTGTGAGCTGATTATCAAATGCAATAGTGGTTACCCGTGGTGGACAGTGTTTGGCAGAGCTCCCAGATTAAGACAAGCTTGGAAGCAGGAGTGACATCCACTTCCCAAATAGCTTGCCTCTGGAATCTCTATGAATGTGGAGAAACGATGAAAGTTATTCAAGTGTTCAGGTCTTTTGTTCATAGGGTTGCTATGAGTCCTCTACTGCCTTGATGACACTTAACAACAACAATGGAGGAATAGGAATCTTCCTAGAGTTAGTGTAAATTGTGCAAAAGGAAATCACCATACCTGCATTTAAATGATGGCATTAAAAATTAACTGTTTCTTCATCGTAATATAAACTTAGCTCTGTTCTGTCTCATCAAGTTGCAACCAAGTCATAGCTGGTACTCCAGCATGTTGTCAGAGGCTGTAAATTGCTCAGGGGGACATTGTTCACTTCTTTCCTGCTTGAGCAGCTAATAAATCTGAAACAGTCTTGCATTTAGGTTAGGAGTACAACTCCTTACATTAGGGCACCAGAGCTCCCCCAAATTTAGTTCTATTCAATGTTCAAGATTTAATTATATTAAAAACAATTTTTTAATGGCAGCTACCTATTTTCATTATGTTGTGAACCTGAATATATGAAGAAAAACGCATTCTTTCTGTTGTTAGGTGCTATTGAGTACAACTCGTTGTTGCTGTTGCTATGTGCCATCGAGTCATTTGCAACTCATAGCGACCCTATGTACAAGAGCTCTAAATGCTGTTCTATCCCATGCCAGCCTAGCCATCTCAAACACACTTATTCCCGCCGCTCCAGTCACAGAATCGATCCATCTCATCAAAGGTCTTCCTCTCCTTCGCCACCCCTACACGCTCCCAAACATGATGTCCATCTCCAAAGACCAGTCCCTCCTTGCAACATGCCCAAAGCATGTCAGACGAAGCTTCATAATCCTTGACCCCAAGGAGCATTCTGGCTTCACCTTCTCCAGGACAAAGCTGTTTGTTCTCCTAGCAGTCCATGGTGTATTCAATGCTCTTCTGCAGCACCACAGCTCAAAGGTATCAATTCTCTTTCTATCAATCCTATTCACTGTCCAACTCTCTGATGCATAGCAAATGTTAAATCTGACACCTGCTCTATCCTGTGCCATCACCTTCATTCCAGCTATACTAGAGTCCATCATTACAGTCACTGTCTCAGTCTGTCTTTCCCTCCTTCACCAACTCTTCATTTTTTTGAGCATGATGTCTTTTCCCCAGGACTGGCCCCACATAACACCTTGTCCAAAGTTCTCTAGATGAAGTTTCACCATCCATTCCTATAATGAGCATCCGTGCTTCCCTCTCTCTAAGACATATTTGTTTGTTCTTTTGGCAGACCAGAGGATATTTAGTTCTTTTCTCCATTATCACAACTCAAAGAAATTGATTTTTCTTTCTTCTTTACTCAGTGTCCAACACTAAGATGTATAGTAAGGAATTGAAAAAGCCATGGGGAAAATTAGGTGCACCTTTACTTTAAACTAACATTTTTACTCTTAATCACTTTGGGGAAGACTTGCCCAATATAGCACATCTTTTCATTTCCTGACTGCTGATACTAAGATTATTGATTGTGGATCCAAGTAAGAAAAAGCATTGACAATGTCAATCTTCCTGCCATCTACCATGGTATTGCCTGTTGGATCTGTTGTAACAACCAGTCTTTAAAAACCTTATGAAAAACTGTTGTCATTTTGTACCTCAGTGCCCAGACTGACCTATAGCTGAACCATCAACAAGTTTTCAGAAGCAGTAAATCACATGGGAAGAGATTGTTTTTGTTGTTGTTAAGTGCCGTCGAGTCACAGGCGACTCATAGCAACTCTATGAAGGAGAGTCCTTAATGCTTGGGTGCCTTTCTTCCTCTCTCCAGGTTCATAGGGTTTCCAGAGGCAAGCTATTATGGAAGTGGATGCCAATCCTCCTTCCAATGGGAAGAGATTACCCATTCTTATTCTGTGGAGCATTGGTGGATTTGAATGAGTAGACATAGCTGCATACATCCATTAAAATTGGAACATTGTTGTTGTAGTTGTTCAGTGCCCTCAAGTTGTAGATGACTCATAGCAACGCTATGAATGAAAGACCTGAACACATGTATTACTTTCATCATTTCTCTAAGTTCATTGAGTTTTTAGAGGTAATCTATTTGGGAAGTGGATGCTACTCCTGTTTCCAAGCCTGTTTTAATCTGGGGGCTCTGCCAAACACTGTCTACCATGGGTAACCATTGTTGCATTTGACACATCATTGTCACAGTGTTTAGCATCACAGCAGCCAGAGTTACCTCTGTACAGCCAATTGACAGACCAGTGCTATACCACCTAGAAGAATGTTTGACTAAACTCAATTAAAACCAGGCCTGAGGGCTGCAGATTAAAACCACGCACCTTTGGCTTGGTAGCATAACTTTGTATACACTGGGCCAACAGAGCTCTCTCTATGTTCATAGCAATTCTATGAACAGTATACCTAACCCTTGCCCTATCCTACACCGTCCTCACAATCCCATACATATTCGGGACTATTATTGTAGTCACTGTATCAATCCATCATGTTGAGGATCTTCTTTTCTTCTCTGAACTTCCACTTCTCTCAACATGATGTCATTTTCCAAGGACTGGAAACATAACTGTTGTTAAGTGCTGTCTAGTCATAGACGACTCACAGCAACCCTATGAACAAAAGACCTGAACAGTTGTATAACTTTCATCGTTTCTCCATGTTCTTAGAGTATCTGGAACCAAGCTATTTTGGAAGTGGATGTCGCTCCTGCTTCCAATTCTGTTTTAATCTGGGTGCTCCACCAAACACTGTCCACCATGGGTAATCATGATCACATTTGTCACATCACTGTCACAGTGTTCAGTGTTCTGATTGGAGGAAAATTGGACGGTGTAAAAAATGAAATGGCATGTATAAAGATCAATTAACAGAATGTATAATATGTTCTAGGTATTAGTGAGGTGAGAGAAACTGACATTGGCAAGTTTGAGTCAAACAATCATATGATATACTATGTGGAAATGAAAAATTGAGGAAGAGTGGAATTCGATCCATAGCTAAAAAGATTATCTCAAGGTCTATCCTGCAGTACAATGGTG